TCCTGTGAATGGGAAGCCCAGGCTACAGCCTCAAAGGATGCCCAGTCATGAAGTCAGCCAGTGTGGGCTGGACTCTGAAAGTCACCAGCCCAGGACAGATATTCCCATCAGGGCACCTGCAGTTGTGTTCCTAGGCAGACCTGGAGCAGGTACTTAGCATCTCTGTCTCTGTCAGCACTTGAAGATTGTGAAAAGGGCTTTAGCTTAAAATGTGGGCTCTGAGGAGTACTAATAGATGGGGTGACCTTGGGCAGATTTCTTAAGCTCTCTGAATTCCAGGATACTGATCTGTAAAGATAGGAGTCATCCTCTCTACTTCATGGAGTTTCATCAAAACCAGTGAGATGTGGGGTGGGATGCACATGACACAGAGCCTGACACAGGGCAGGTGCCCAGGAAACATAAGTAGCTTCTTGTGCAGACAAGAAACGCTGCCACTCCCCCACCTCTTCAGATTTCCCGGAAGAGAGATGATTCCTTTAGCCAACTTTTATTGAGCACTCTGACAACTAGAAATGTGCAGGTCATTTCCACGTTCAATCAAATGGAGAACAGGGATGTCCCGGACCTTCTCCAGGTTAAGTGGGGATTTTAGGATGGTAGGATCTCTCTCCACCCTACCGAGAGGCAAAGCCTTGGCACCTGTTCCAGGAAGCAGGCCTTGATTCCTAGGGAAAGGCATCCAGCTCTTGTCATTTTCCAAGATTGCAGTATCACAGGAGGCACGCTTTTCTCTTGCAGCCTGGCCATCTACTACCTGAACTCAGTTTCCAAAAGCCTTTTCCGAGCTAATGTCCAGCTGAGGAAGAAAATCCAAGCGGTGAGTCTGTCACAAGTTTCATTCTGGAAGGTAAAAGGATGTCATGAATTATTATTTTTTTTTTTTGCTAATTTGCTCTGTGAACCCAGTTGTATGCTCTAAATGGCATTCTTCTACACCTAATCCAAAAATATCTGTGTGATAGGAAGCAGCCTTATGAGATTCAACAGCATGCATTCATATTGGGTATATAGAACAATAATGATTTAAATTTTGAGAGGCTGATGAAAAACTGGAGAAATTCAATGGATTCAACCAATGTTCATACATAATAAAACCAGAACCCACACTAATTCCTACACTTTAAAACTAATACTATAAACAGCAAAGAAAATAATGTTGTTAAAATGACATGTTGCTTGTGGTCTGTGGCCTAACAAGTCTTTTAAGCCTCTCTCAATATTGGTCGACTTCTGACTGCTCTCTTCCATTCTCCCAGCCCCCAACCTGCCTCCTACTCATGGTAAAGGGTAGACCCAACCCTCTTTAAGCCCTGACCTCCTTGCTTCCTCCATGCCTCTTCTGGAACTAATCTCATCTGCCTCGCTCGCAGCCAGTTCCCCATCGCCATCCCACTCCCTTAATTTTACGGGACTCCTGCCCAGATAAAGAAAACCATTGAATTAGAGGATTGGGGAGGGCTTCTGTCCTCCCCTAGCCAGATGATCCCTCAAATGTTGTCCAAACCTGAGTCTCAGGCTGCCCTGTCAGCCGTGCAGACTAATTACATGTGATTTAAGGTAAGTACCAAGAACTGAAGACAGAGTCCTTACCCTTCAGATCTCACCATCCTGAGCCTCAAACACCCATTTCCCTGGCCAAGACCAACCGCTAATTTTTTCCTGCAGCTCCGTGAAGTTGAAAAGAGCCACAAATCTGTCAAAGGCAGAGCCACAGCCAGAGATTCAGAGGACACAGATAAAGGCAGCTCCAAAGATGCCACCCAGCTCCAACTCACCAAAGCAGGTAAATTCTATTTCATGACGATTACTTTTCACAAGGCCACATGGAAAGGTGTAAAGAGCATATGTTGTGAAATCAGACGGATCTGGGATTAGAATCAGAGTTTTGACGATTATTGGAACAGGCAAATAATGGAACGATGTGTTTGGATGCTGATGGACTTACGTATGGAAGGAAAAAAACAGGTGTACAAAATGTTTTCCGTGAGAAACCAAGAAACTTACACTGGTTTGACAGTGGTCAATTCATGTCCCCAGAGTCTTAACGTGCCTGCCCACCTTACCCACTCCTTTCCCCTCCTTTCTCTATTGGCTGCTGTTTGAAAGTTTGTCCTTCTCCAATTTTTAGTTTTTATTACAAATCTAAAGCTCTTTCGATTTTATACTGATTAAGTCAGTACTGCAGTGTTGATTTAAAAAAACAAAAACAAAACTTTATTGGGGAACAGTGTGTTTTTCCAGGACCCATCAGCTGCAAGTCAAGTCATTCTTTTCAGTCTAGTTGTGGAGGGTACAGCTCTCTGGCCCATGTGGAATCGAACCAGCATCTTGGTGTTAAGAGCCTGCGCTCTAACCACCTGAGCTAACTGGCCGCCCCTCATTTTTTAAAAAGAATTAAAGTGTTATCTGAACACATCAGTGGAACTAGGGTGCAGGGGAAATTTAGGAAGATGGTCGACCTTTAGTCTGGAAAATTCCAACTGCCTCGATTGCTGCCCTTACTCAGCTTCTCTTCTTGAAAGTAAATGCTTTAAGAACCCCAAACAGCTAATAGCTCAAACACAATAAAAGTTTACTTCTCACTCAACATAAACTCCAAATTGGGTGTTTCCACTTGATGGTCACTTTCTTCCCAAGGGATGATTCAGAGACCCTGGCTCCTTCCAACCTGTGACTCCACCTGCATCAGGCTAGTGTGAGGGGAAGAACCTAGAGGTCACGCCTGGAAGTGGTCCCATCAAAGCCTGGACTTCTGTCATGGGCCGCACCCATCCACAATGGAAACTTAGTCCATTCTAAGTCCACATCCTCATTCTTGTCTTTGTTCTTTTTCCAGGGACCATGCCTCACTCTGCCAGCCAAAGCCAGAACCTGGACAAGAAGGCCCAGGGCCCTGGGACCTCCAGCTCTGCTAGCAGGGCCATGCTGCCTGCCTCTAGGCACCTCCCTGTATCTCGGCCTCCTGGCATCAGACCAGATTCTGGCCAAGCCCAGCCTCTGACTCATCCTGGGAGGTCAGCCCTTAGAAAGAGTACTCAGAGACCTACCCACTGACAGCTGGGACTCACAGGAACCCCATCCTGGGGCTGATCCTCTGGCCCCACCAGCTCACACACCCAAATTGGTGTTCTCTCTTCCTCTCTCCTCACACATATGCACATTCTCTCTCCTGTTACTGAACTTTGATTGCTTAGTCTCAGGTCCTTGTGGCTACCAAAACGGGAGGACAGTGGCTTCATCTGCCTTTAGGGGAGCTGAGCCTCCCCTAAATATCTTGGTTCAGGTAGCTATGGACCTTGTACTGATGGTGGTTGCCCTTGGCTCCAGACTTTGGGAGGAGGGGCAGGGCCATGGCCACTGTCATGGACTTTTCTCATGGCGCCCATGTTGGAACATAGGTGGCTGCCAGCTCCACCAACTGGGAGGAGGGTGCAGAGGGGCCCACATTCCTGACCATCACCTCTATTCAAAGGAAGTGAGGTGGTTAAAATAAAAGGTACAAGAAGCCAATGAAAATAAAAGTAAATGAACCAAATCCAGCCATGGTGACTTGGAAGATGGTGATACCCCAGAACCCAGTCTGAGGGGAACTGATGCCATTAAGCACCAAAAATGCACTGGAGCCTCCTAGCAGCAAGGCAAGGAGCGAGTGAGTAGCATAGTACTTCTTATCTAATTGAAGGAAACTTAAAAGATTGCTCAGGGCAGAAAAATCTTTCTCATGTACCAAATTCTAAAAGGAATTTGATAGCCTGCTTATTGTATAAGGGACATTGAAGATGGTTTCTTGAGGAGCTTGCAAAGGGTGCAATGCAAAGCCTTGTCTCTGGTGATTCTATATTCATCTTATGTCTTACGTGGTTCTATGCAGAATGACTCCTAGGGGGCATAAGCTGGGGAGGCCAGACCATTGAGAAGGCCTTGCCAGGAACGGCAGAGGCTCAGCACAGTCACAATCCAAGACTCTTCGACAGCCCAGGTATCTTGCAGGCAGATCCTTTCTTTCCTCTACCCCGTTTTCCCAGACCCAGGTGAGCATGTGGCTTCAAGATCAAGGGACCATCTCACCTATGTCTGCATGTTCTAAAGGGAGTCCTCTCTCTCAGTCACCATCCAACCATGTCCCCAGGGGTTCACAGAATTCCCCACACCCTGGAAGTCAGGCTAAGTTCTGGTGGAGATTTTACAGAGATATCAGAAGCTATACACTTAGAATAATTTCCAACTTCCCTCCCCTTCCCAACCCAGCAAAGAAATTTCAAATACAACCTGAATGGAGTGAGAATGGGGACACGTGACAGGAAGAAATGATAAATTATTTCACCACCATCCACCTCCAGGCAAGGCTAAAGAAGATGCAGCTAATGCCTCATCTCCATGGAACTGAGATCCAACCCCCAAATCCAAAAATGTTTGTGCATCATATGCCTTCTTCTGGGAAGACACACCCTGGCCCTGAACTAATCTACCTGAGACCTCTACAGGAGAATCCAGGAGACCTAACCCAACCAATCAGGACTGGAAAGCCCAAAGATGGCTACCACACTGATGCTTGGCCTTCAAGTCATCCTGTCTGGGGATAATGCCAGTCTCTGGGGAAGGGAACAAGAAAGGCCTAAGTCATCAGCCTCCTAGAGATTACTGTCAGACTTCTGATGGCTAGCAATACACCCACCATAAACACAAATTATCCTGTTCTGATGAGGCATAATTTTATGTGAGTGAATATATTTGCTATCTATTGTTACACAACAAACTGTCCCCAAAATTTAACAACTTAAAGCAATAAATATTTATTATCTTACACAATGTCTGTGGATCACAAATTTGGGATTGGCTTCACTGGGCAGTTCCGGTTCTGAATATTGAAAACAAGGTCTCAGGCAGGGCTATAGTCATTGGAAGACTTGACTAAGGCTGGAAGATCTATTTGCAAGATGGCTCACACATATGGCTGTTGGCAGGAGGCTTCTGCTCCTTGCTGGCTATTAACAGACTTTGATTACCTCCCATGTGAACCTCTCCACAGGGCTTCTGGGGTGTCTTCACAACATAGCAGCTGGTTTCCCCACAGCAAATGATCCTAGAGAGAGGGCAAGAAGGAAGCCACAATGCCTTTTGTAACCTAGTCTCAGAACCATCCATTCTACCACTTTTTACTCATTAGAACTGAGTCACTAAGTCTAGCCCACACTCAAAGGGGAGAAGATTAGTTTTTATCTTGAAGGGGGTTGCTATGAAACAAGCTTTGGACAGATTTTAACAAGAGATTTCCTAACTCAAATAGTCACAAGATCTCTAATCAAGAAAACTCTAAAGCTTTTTTTGAGAGACATCCATCAGAGGATTAGTTAATGGTGGCTCCTGGGACCCTCAAGCAACAGGAAACTTCCAGTGAGCTAGGGAGATGGGCAGAGGTAAGAGAGGAAGGGTAGTGGGCCAGCCGAGTGGCTCAGTTGGTTAAGAGCGCAAGCTCTGAGCAACAGGGTNAACAGACAAGTTGCTGTCCTTTTGTTCTTCAGTCTAATTGTAGAGGATGTCGCTTCACTGCCCCACGTTGGTATTATCACTGCGCTCTTCCCAGGTGAGGCAATCACTCCCCGTCCATTGGACGGCCACTCAAGGTGGCTCATGGCAGCTCACGAAAGCTCACACCAGCTGCCGGCCGTTCGCGCTGGCTGCCAGCCACTCACGGTAGCTCACGGCAGCCCACTGCAACAGGGACTGCAACCTACGCTGTCGCCAGTGACTCATGGCAGCCTCGCTCCAGGCCGAGCTGTTGTTCACCATCTTAGCTGTAGAGGGCACAGAATCACTGGCCCTTATGTGGGATCCGAACCAGGATCCTGCTGCTTAGAGCTGGCGTCCCAAGCCAACTCTTAACCAACACGCCACTCTGCCGGCCCTATGTGGAGATTTTAATATTTCTTGTATTTCATTGTATGGATGAATAAACCACAGCTTATTCATTTCTCTGCATAGACCTACTTAGGTTGTTTCCATTTTTTTGCTGTTGCAAATGTGCTGCTTGTATATATGTCTCCTTGTGCAAATGTGAGACTTTCTCTAAGACAGAACTCAAGAAGTGGAACAACTGGATCATAGGTGTTTCTTCATTCTTTTTAAATAGTACTGAATTGCTTTCTAAAATAAGTGCATATCCTCACATCCTCGATTTCAAACATCCTCTGCTTTCTAGACCTGGCATGAGCGAGGGCTGATGAGATATGATGACCTGGACTGCCCTGTGACCACCTGAGGAAATGCTGGAACCCAGATCCAAAGCTGAGCCTTGCAGGCAGCTAGGAGAAATGCTAAATTTGGAAAGACCCTCAGGAGGATCGCAGCCACCCATAGCACTTTATCTTCTCTGACCTTTCTGTTCCTCCCTAACAAATGGGTTGTTAATTAGAGAGGGCAAGGCCTGGTGCAGAGTCAGTGCCAAAACAGATAGTGGTCCCTTGCCTGTCCTCCCTTCGCTCCTCTCTTCACCCACAGTCCTCTGAGTCTTTGCTTCAAGAGGTTCACATGACAGTCCTGACCCACACGCTGCGCCAAAGACAATGCGGTTCCTCTTCTGTGTAGGGAGAGAGCTTATAGACTCTACTGAAGTGGCTATGGGTGGCCCCACCCCAAGGGGAAGACTTGGAAGACCCAAGCTAGAGTAGCAAAGGCTTGA